TCTAGCAGCGGGAAATGGCTGCTATGCATAGACCATGCATTAAACGGCAAGCAATTCTTGGGATAGCCCATGCTTGTTTGCCAATCATGGGCCAGTCATGGCATCAATAATTAGCTATGCATGGGCAAAGCAAGAAAAGGTTTTTAGAAATAAAAACGAAATAAAAATGATTTTTAAATTATTTTTGTAACGTCGTTGTGATACTTTTATACCACGTTTAAATTAATTTACAATTTTATAAAAAAAATAAAAAATGATTTAAAAAACAACAAACCCTGAGTTGAACTTTCTTGAAGTTGAAATGCCAAACATAGGATGAAAATTTTCCAATTCATTTTATCAAAACAATATTTATAGAAACTAACTACAGTACTATTGAAACGTATGAGCAAATGAACCAATGACTGATGTATTTATAAGGAAATGTAAAGACTACATAATTGGATAATATTCAAACCAGTTGTATCTAGTTATACGACAACCCCATCATAAATTTGGATTACTTATATTCAATAGAATAGATATAAAGATGAAATATAAAAACAATTTAAGCGATAATTAACACTTGTAAATCTTTTTAGTAAATTGAATAAATATAATATTGTAAAATATTTTAATTTTTCTATTTTTCTATTGATTAGTTTCCACGAATCAAAATGTAATGACGCAAATGGATCGAATGTGTTTGCAATTTGATTAAAAATTTTTATAATAGGATTATATGCGTTTACTTCAATGTGATTAGGCTTTTTTAAATTTGACTCCGAATCTCTAATCGGAGAGTTATTAAATTTTTTTGAAATCTTTTGGCTTTGTATTATTTTATTGAAAGTATTACTATATTGAAAGAGAGAAAACTAATAATTTACGAGAAATGACAAAATATTCTCAGAAATTTTTGCAACAATAAATATATCATAATTAGTATTTTTAATTTTTGTAAAGTTAGAAGGATAAACTGATAAAGTAATGTTTTTGCAAATATAGATAAAATATACATAACATTGGGTTATGGCATCCGGGTTTTTTTCTTAAAATGAAAATTAAAATTGCTTTTTTTTTTTACTTTTGTGTTTCTACTATAACTAATATAACACAATATACTATTCTAATATAACAAAATAATTCAAATCTTTTGACAAAATTTAAACTAGATTGTTGATACCTACATTAGCTTATAACTTGCCTTTCGGATAATCTTCTTAAACGTATTTCAAACCTTTTATGATTAATCTAAGATCGTACGTTTATTCGTCAAAATAGCTTTGTTTTTTTGCTAGAACTTTTTTGGCTGTGTTTGGTCGATGTTTTCGATTGATATTTACTGCAAAATATATTTAATGATCTGGAAACAGTTTTAATTGCAAATACTTGCAGATGTAAACTGTGTAAATAAAACATTACACATGATTATTGACCTCGACAACTGTCAATATAAGAATTTTTTTACATTACTATATATTATTGATTATAAAAAAGTCCTATTATCATAGGTTGTCTACATATTATTAGTAAAATAATCACCAACTGTATATTACTAACATTATATATATATTTAAATATATATATATATGTATATATTTATATATATATATATATATATATATATATATATATATATATATATATATATATATATATATATATATATATATATATATATATATATATATATGTATATATATATATATATATATATATATATATATATATATATATATAAATATATACATATATATATATATATATATATATGTATATATTTATCCATAGTCCTATTATCATAGGTTGTCTACATATTATTAGTAAAATAATCACCAACTGTATATTACTAACATTATATATATATTTAAATATATATATATATGTATATATTTATATATATATATATATATATATATATATATATATATATATATATATATATATATATATATATATATATATATATATATATATATATATGTATATATATATATATATATATATATATATATATATATATATAAATATATACATATATATATATATATATATATATATATATATATATATATATATATATATATTTAAATATATATATAACGTTAGTAATATACAGTTGGTGATTATTTTACTAATAATATGTAGACAACCTATGGTAGTAGGACTTTTTTATAATCAATAATATATAGTAATGTAAAAAAATTCTTATATTGACAGTTGTCGAGGTCAATAATCATGTGTAATGTTTTATTTACACAGTTTACATCTGCAAGTATTTGCAATTAAAACTGTTTCCAGATCATTAAATATATTTTGCAGTAAATATCAATCAAAAACATCGACCAAACACAGCCAATAAAGTTCTAGCAAAAAAACACAGGTATTTTGACGAATAAACGTACGATCTTAGATTAATCATGAAAGGAAATACGTTTTGAAGATTTGAAATACGTTTAAGAAGATTATCCGAAAGGCAAATTATTAGCTAATGTATGTATCAACAATCTAGTTTAAATTATGTCAAAAGATTTGAATTATTTTGTTATATTAGAATAGTATATTGTGTTATATTAGTTATAGTAGAAGCACAAAAGTAAAAAAAAAAGCAATTTAAATTTTCATTTTAAGAAAAAACGTACTCGGTACTCTACTAAGTTCTATACATGGAAGATGTGATATTCTAAACATATAATAGTGTATTTCTAAGTTTTTTGAAGGTGATGTGGTATTCTAAAATTCTAAGCACTATCTACGATATTGTTTTTTAACAAAATATATGGGTGATGTGATATATGTATGTATGTATATATATATATATATATATATATATATATATATATATATATATATATATATATATATATATATATATATATATACATATATATATATATATATATATATATATATATATATATATATATATATATATATATATATATATATATATATATATATATATATATATACTGGGGGTTGAAATATGAAACGGAAGGGTGCAAGCAATCTGTCTTTTAATAACAAAACTTTTTAAGGTTCTTTTGTAATACCTATATCTTATGTTTTATCTCTTATCCTTTAACTATATCTATATTTTATCTCTTAGACCCATTCAGCATGGTTTTAGGGGTTTCATAATTTACTTTATAGTCTTAAATATTCTGTATTTGCACCTGTAATGATCACATTATAACTCATTTCAATATAATTCAAATCTTGTGACAAAATTTAATTAGATTGTTGATACATACATTAGCAAATAACTTGCATTTCTGATAATCTTCTTAAACGTATTTCAAACCTTTTATGATCAATCTAAGTTCATACGTTTAATGGTCGAAATATTTGTGTTTTTTTTGATAATATTTTTTTGTCTATTTTTGGTCGGTGTTTGCAATTGATATTTACTGTTGATTTTATGATTTATATTTACAGTTGATATTTTGATTGATATTACGGTATAATTTATTATTAATGACCTGGAAACAGTTATAATACTTATAGATGCAAATACTTATAGATGTAGATTGCCTAAATAAAACATTACACACAATTTTTGACCGCGACAACTGTCAATATAAGAGTTTTTTTACATTACTATGTTTTATTGATTATAAAAAAGTCCTATTATCATAGGTTTCCTAGATATTATTAGTAAAATTAACGCCAACTATATAATACAAACATTTAGTAACAAAACTTTTTTAAAGTTTTTTTGTAATACCTATATCTTATGTCTTATCTCTTATCCTATTACTGTATCTATTTTATACAACTTTATCTTTTATAACTTTTATCTTTTATCTCTTTAGGTTTAAGAGATAAAAGACAAAAAACGAATTAAAAAACCCTAAAACCATGCTATATATATAGCATGGTTTTATGGGTTTCATAATTTACTTCATAGTCTTAAATATTCTGTATTTGCACCTGTATTGATCACATTATAACTCATTTCAAATAAAAAAGTAACAAATTTTAAACAACCGGAGGTTCAAACGTTTATATGCGATATATTAGTATCTAGAGCTTTATGCGTTAGTAAGTTTTACATGGGAAGTAACCAGATAACATGAACACGTTGGCCCGACGTCGGGCCAATGTGTTTTATGTCATCTAGAAAAATGACGTCGGCATAACGTAGGAAATGCAATGTTTTAAACTGCCATTGTGGTTTTCAGCGCATAGCTTACTCAATAATTGAGTAAACAAAGCGCAGAAAACCACAATTTACATTTAAAACATAGTTATCCCGTAGTAAATTTTCTAGCCAAATATAACACGTCGGCCCGACATCGGGCCAACGTGTTCTAGTTTTCTCGTGTTAATTTTTTATCTGCTGAACAGTTACTGTTCCGTTGTTTAAATTAATTAGCTGAGTGTTATCCAATTATTTTTAGTTTAATTTTTTTATTATTATTTTTATTTTTTTGTTGCAAAAACTTACTTCTATACTTAATAAATAATGTACACAATGAAAATATTTAAACATAGTATTTATGGCTAGAGTAAATAATTGGTAAAAAAATGCTAGTTATGGTCTGCATTTTTAGTCAAAACTGTAACAGAAAAACTCTTGGCAAACTTTTGATCAAAATACTTAATTTATTACTTTTTTTTTTTTATTACGTTTTTATTATGGTTTCATATACTTTTTTGTAGTTGTTTTTTTTTTACGTTTTTTTATTTTTTGTTTTAAAAACTTTTTTTTACGTTTAAGCATTAAAGTATAAAATGTGGAAGTGAACTATTTTTTTTTTTTTTTATTGAGTTTACGTTTATACGTTGTTTTTTTTTTGTTTTTTTTTTTGCGTTGTTTTTATTACATTTTTTATTATGTTTAAGGATTGTAAGTATCAGATATGAAAGTGAACCACGCTCAATAATTTTGCTTGCATTTGTTAAAAGTTTAACAAATGCAACTTTAAAATTTAAGTTGATTTACAAAATAGTTATTTATAATTTTATAGGTCTTTTTCTTTTTTAAACACGCTATGGTAATTTGCTTTAAGATCGCGTACTTTTGAAAACAAACTGTTTGTTATGAAAGTTAGTGATAAAAGTTTTAATATATTGAAACAGTTTGCATCACAACAAGAAGTAGTTTTATATAACTGAAACAGTTTGTATCACGCGAAGAAGTGGTTTTACGAGAAACGAAACAGTTTGTATCACGCGAAGAAGTGGTTTTACGAGAAACGAAACAGTTTCATGCGATCATGCATCAAGCGAAGAAGTGGACGGAAAATTTATTTTAGTTAAAATAGTCAACACAAACAAATCGTAAGTTTCATGAAATGTTTTTTTGCAATTTATTTTTCAGACATGAGGCTGACGTAGTTTTGTGGAGTTTCGTTCAAGAAACATATATATACATAAATGCTTTTTGGAAAGAAGAAAAGCTCATCTTGAATTTTAAAAGACTTTTAAGTATGGTTCCTAACTTTTTTATGGGATATTTTGCTCCTGATTATTAGGTTGATGTTCTCATATGAATTTGTGGTCGAAGAAATATAGAGTTAATTTTTTTTTATAATTAGAATAGTTGTTTCATGCATTTTCTATGCACATGCCAAAGTTCAATGAAAAAAAAAAAAAGCAATTAGTTTAACTATAGTTATACCAAGTATACCACTTTTTTAGGTAACCCTAGGCAAACGGTTTTTTGAGGTGGTTCTTTTTAGAAACATATATAAACCTTGACCTTGAAAAGAAAAAAGGTTAGGCTTGATTTTTATATTACTATCGTGTATTGCTAGCGTACTTTTTTAATAAATTATTTTGCTGAGAGTTTTGAATTAAAACTTGGTTAATGCTGTCACATGGATTTTTAGTTGAAGCAATGTAGAGTCCGTTTTTTTCATTAATAAACTTTTTCTTGTTACATTTTCTATTAACTTGCCAATTTTCAACGAAAAAATAATTATAAGCAGTTAGTCTAATTAGTATTGGACTTTAGGTACCTAATTTTGGTTTTTCTGTTTGTTTTTTTGTTAAGCGAAATCCGGATGGGGCCGAAATCCGAATAAAGATGTGATGTTTAATTAAAGTTTTTTAAACATGGTTTTACAAATTAAAAATATATATACATATTTTATATGTATAAAATTTGTAAATGTTGTTCAAAGTAAATTTATTTATTTAGGTTAGTTATCTTGGTGTCATTGGTAGCGCCAACATTAAAGATATGACAAGGAGTGCATTAACAGTTTTGATAACTTATGTTTTAGCAAGTGAATTAAATTGGAACATGGGGAAAAACATGTCTTTTCAGTCCTTATGATAAGAAAAATTAACAATGGTAATTTATGAAACTCACATTTTTTACATTTTTTATGCAATTTAAAGAAATAATGCATATATTTTATGCAATTTAAAGAAATAATGCCTAATGCATATTTTTTACACCATTTTTTATAAATTTAAATATATGCATGATGCCTTAATTTCAGTTTTAGCCTCCAAAACTTTATAGACCTTCCTACGCCAGTGAGTCTAGATGCATTAAAAGTTTAAATAAAAAATTCAAAAAATTATGCTGCAATGATTGTTTTATATTCATTGCTTGTTTAACCAATTTTCCATAGTTATAGCGAAAAACTATACTTGTTAAATTTAACAAGGCACTTTATAAAAATTATAAATAAATTTAAATTTTCTTTTGTTTCATTAGATGCAGTTCAACTCAATTCATTTACAAAAAAAGCTACAGCTACTGAAGTAGAAGACGTATTAAAGGAATGGCTTCAAAACGCAAAAAGTAGGAGCCAAGGTCGCGCAATGCGGAGAAGATTTGAGTTGAATATATAACAATTTAATAAACTAATTTTTATTAGAATACTATTATAATAAATGTAAATGTTTTAAATAGTAACAAATTGATTTATATGTTAATTTGTAATTACTCATATTAACTTTCACTTTAGATTAAATAAGTAATTATTTAGATTTAATAAATCTTAGTAAAGAGTAGTTGAAATCTTATGACTAAAGTGTTTCAAACTGGGATATATATATATTCATATATATCATGGGATATATATATTCATATATATCATCTTCATGGGTATGATAGAAAATATAAAGAATTCGCATTAAAGTTTTATTTCCAGACTAATATATTAATTTACTTTTTAGAGTAAGTAAGATATATTCTGATTAAGAACAATGCTTCATTAAACATTTAAGATGCATAAAGATGACGAATATCCTGCAATACAAAATTGCTCTAGTTACATCTAACAACATAAATCTAATAATAAAAAAGGGGATAAAATATTTGTAAAATATATAAGTTTTTCCCTAATAATTGTAATTTAATAATTTTTTAAGGTGGGCATAGGCCCCCTGGCCCCCTTGGTGGTTACGGCTCTGATATATATATATATATATATATATATATATATAAATATATATATATATATATATATATATATATATATATATATATATATATATATATATATATATATATATATATATACACATATATATATATATATATATATATATATATATATATATATATATATATATATATATATATATATATATATATATATATATATATATATATATATATATATATATATTTACATATATATATACATATATATATTTAAGCGTTTTCAAAAAATCATACAAACTTACATCTTTTTCTAAAACAATATGTCCAGTTTTAATCTTTTGAAAGTAATTGCAGCAAGTTTTTTATTAAGTGTTTAGCTTTAGTATTTAAAAACACATTCCTTATTTAATTGTTAATTAATTTCAATACATTATTGTACTTAATTCTAACCCTAGCCAAGCAAAAACATAAAAATGCCTGAGGTTGGCAATTTTTGCTGACCTCGTTTTTATCTTTTATAGTAAAACCTTTGTAAAAATGGCTTAATGTTTGTCGATTGTATTCTGATGCTAACCTAAAACAATTTAAGGTCAAAAATTTATTAATCACTTTAGTTTTACTAATTTTGAGGCTTGTGTATGGATGCATACTTACCTGCATTTGGGTGGCAGTGGGCAAAGAGTGCCAACTTGTGTATTCCATAATGCAAAAGTGTACCAATGTCTTCATTCTTGCTGAGTCAGCTGTGACAGAAGACTTTAATACATGAGCTATGTCGCCAAATATCTGAATTAAATAATAATAATAAAAAAAGCATACAACTATATAAAGCAGAGAAAACTTATAGAATAACCCATTAGAAGACATGGCAGTTTTGAAAATATCTTCTCAATTAAAAAAGAATTCGTAATTTTGAAACAATATTACATTTTATCCAACTAATATATGAAATCACAAATGAAAATCAAATCTTTCAATAGATGAGACATAAAGATGAGTTTTAGTAGTAAAAGATGAGTTACTACTAAAGTAAGTTATATCACTAAACTTACTACTAAAGTAAGTTTAGTGATATAAAGTGAATATAAAAAATAAATTATTCTATGAATAAAAAATGATATTTTCTTTCTTGATTTTATGCATTGGTTTGTTATGTGATTTGTTATACTGTACTTAACTGAACAATGATTTAGAATATATAATTTAAGGTTGCAAAATGATGAAAGATAATATTGAGAATTTTTTTATAGAAGTAAAGAAATTACAGATTGAAAGAGGTAAGGTAACCTGTGTGTGATTTCAGACAAATAAACAATTTAATAGATGAACAAGAGCACACAATTTGATAATTTTGGATAGAAAGAAAAGAATATTAGAATTAGAGTGATATTCTGAAAAGTAAATTATTTTAAATGTCTTGTTTTTAGATTAGATATTCATAAAATATTATTGGTTCATAAATTATAACTATATATAATATTAGAGTGTCTCTAGTATGTTTGAGAAATAAAATTTATATTGAATAAGATTTACTTTTTACTATTACAATCTATTTGAGTTTAAAAAAATATATTGCTGGTTTAATACACTTTTAGTGATGTTTTTTCGTTTATGAAAAAATTGGGTGCTAGGTTTGAATACTACAAACAACTTTTGGTCCAAATAATCCATTCATCACGAATTTAATAAATGAGCTGCAGCAATAATTTTTACAAAACCAAAGTTAAAAAAAAGTTGCTATAAAAAAAGTTATGTAGCTAAGAATCGCAGCCATTTTTAAATCTCTGAAATTTTATGAACTTTTTAAACATGCGCTCATAAACATAACGCTTGTAATTGACTGTGCATAATTATAGGTTTTTAAGATTTTGAGGTCCTAATGATAGATTGGTTGGGGAAGGGGGAGTAGGGGTATACGGGAGTGGCAGAGTCTTTAGCCACACAAAAACTTCTTGATCCGTCGCCCGTCAGTTTATTCATTTTTTTTGTTTTCATTTATTATAAAGAAGTGCACAACTTTGAAGCACTTCAAACCAAATCGTACTAATGCATGCTTGCACCCAGGGCCCGATCTAGAACAACACGGACTATAGACACAACACAATTTGGGGCCTCTTTGTCGAAAAATTATGTGAACAAATAAATGTGTCCTCATTTATTGAGCCCTGAGGGATGAAAGTTTGAGTTGACCTATCACCAATTACCCAGAAATTAACCCGGGTTGATAGCTTTTGAAATCAGACGTCGCATCCACCAAGAAGATTATTTGTAAAAAAATTGTGAAAAAATTTTACATTTAGAAAAAAAATTCTCTCTCTCTCTCTCTCTCTCTCTCTCTCTTTGAAAAGAAATGAAAAAGCGTCTTTCGTTTCTCTATTAATAACTCTTTGCAGATCAGAATTCATGGTCTTTCCTTCTTCGAGGTTTTTTTTTTGAGAGTTTTCCAATCAGAATATCATCTTTGGTGTTTATTGCTCTTTTCATGTTCAGGAACTCTTGAGTTTAGTTTTTTCCCGTCACAAAATCCTTTTGAAATTTCTGAGAAATTGTTGGTTTTTGCCGTTAAAAATAACAAAAAGCAAAAACAAAACAGTCAATCTTTTTTATTACTGTACAGCAACCAATGGTCAACAAATTTTTCACCATTGGGATGAATTTTTTCATACCATTTTGTGCTGAAGTGTTGCTTTTTATTGTCAAAATCACACAGCGTGTATAGGAAAAATTATCTTCTTTCTTGCTCTGGCCCATGTTGAATCAAAAAGATTCTTATATTGTCCGTTAGTTTAGGCCATGTTGCTGGATCCCTGTATTTAAAGATTTTTCCTAAGGTTGGCGGAATATCTGATAATTCTGAATGAAGTTCATTGTGATCCATTTCAGCCCGGTCAGAAAGCTGGGAATTTCCATAATCTCTTGTTGTTTCTGAATTATTTGTGCAAAATTCTTCTTGACTATGACTAATAAAAATCTCCTCTTCAATTAATTCCAAATTATGATCTGAACCTAAGTCATTAACTCGATATGTTTGAAAACCTATATCTGTTGAACTTTCATTAATTTCTCTGAAATAATTTGTTTTTCCTCTGCAGAGTTAGTTACCAACTACTTCTTGAAAAATTTTTCTAGTTTCTCATCATTTTCTGGGCGCTGTTTTCTTTTCTTCTTAAATTGAGCGCCAGATAATTTTTTGGTGCGATTCATTATAGAAACTTAATGTTTACTATAGTTGATAAACATATATGTTTTAACTAAGTTTTGAAAACTAATAATGCGTTTTTTGCAATCTAAAAAATGATCCTAATTAAATGTTTACCATTTTTTTCTTTTTAAAGTTTTCTTATGATAGGACTTTTCAATTAACTGTCCCATCATAAGTAATAACTTTAAATCATTTTACAAAATCGACTATAAACTTTATGGACAGTGTCCATATAGTCTCAAAATATAACAAATATAAAAAAAAATTAATATTGAATGTACTGAATAAAAAGAAAAATAAAATTTCAAAAACGCATATAAACTATTTTAGAGTTAAATGGCGCTCTTCTGCCGCAGAAGAGCGCCCTTTAACATAAACTTCAACTTATAAAACATAAAATTACATAACCTCCAACTTATAAAACATAAACTTACATAAACTCCAACTTATAAAACATAAACTTTTATAAACTCCAACTTATAAAAAACATAAACTTTTATAAACTCCAACTTATAATACATAAACTTAAACAAATTTTAACTTATAAAAACTCATTTACTGAACTGTTCAGTATATGAGCTTTTATAAGTTGATGTAAAAAAGCGCAGTTTTAATTAATTTTTTATCAACTTCAAAGAGATGCCATAAAAATGTGTTTCCAAATGATATTAATTTTCGTTTTTTTATATTTTTTTTAATTTTATTTACTTTTACTTTATTTTACTGGAATTTTGCGCCCTTCCAAGTTTGGCGCCTCGGGCCGCGGCCCGGCTGGCCCCGCCCTTGGTACGGGCCTGATGTTTATATATATATATATATATATATATATATATATATATATATATATATATATATATATATATATATATATATATATATATATATATATGATAATTATATATATTTCTATATTAATTTTGAAATTAAAACATAATAGTAACTTATGAAATCTTTCATTTTATTGAAATGTTTATAAGAAATAAAGTAAATATTAGATATAAGTTTTTATAAATATAGTAAATAAATATATCCTATGATCTTATGATTCTATTATCAGTTTTTATGAATCAAATAATTTGACGCAAGTGGGTTTTTGTTTTCGAATTTAGTTCGTTCTTTAAAAGCATCAAACTTGTTTATAATTTAATTAAGGTTCACTCAAGATGACAAAGTACCGATTTTTTGAAATTAAAATACCTTGATAAAATCAGATTTAACTTTGAAGTGCATTACAATATAGTTGAGAGAAAATATACCGCTATTGTTTTAATAAAAAAAATGCCGAAAGAGAAATGACAAAGTTTCTCAAAAAAGTAGGCATTATTAAATTTTAAAACAAGTATGCTAAAAATGTTTATCTTTAAATTAAATATAGTTCGCAAATTGATAAAGCAGCTAACGTTTTTAATGAAAAGCTGACTCAATTAACATTCTTCCTGTAATAAACTAAATTTGTCTTCTGCACGAGTAATTAATAATAACTTCAAAAAAAATTCCCGCTTGGTGCCTAAGGTTTAAAGCGTGACAAACATAGATAACAATTTATACCACAAAAACCTTTAATTTTGCGTTCATGATACCATCGCGCATAACTTTTTTTATGCTAATAGTTAATATGCTTCACAAAAGTGGTAAATAATGTAATATATTTGAGTTTTTTAAGACTGGTATTGCAAAAGCAATCAGCGATCGCAAAGGAAGCAATTATTTGTGATCGGTGAAAAAGGAAGAAAAATATTCAATACATGGACTTGAAACAAAACAGAAAATGATTACGGTAAAATCGATGACATCACAGTAAAAGAACTTTTTGAAAGATTCGAAGAATACTATTTACCAAAAAAAAATTTGGTTTTGGGACGAAGAAAGTTTTTCGTTCCAAAACCATGAAGCTTTGATAATCTTTAAAATTAGTAATAAATTGGTACAAGGAAAAATTGACACTGGAGCTGAAGTTAATGTTATGCCAAAAAGAGTCTACGACCAACTAAGATCACGTGATGTTCCCACTTATACAAATGTTAAACTTCGTGGTCATGGAGGAAATCATATTTCAGTGCTTCGAACATCAAATATAATGTGCTACTAAAAAAGTCGTAAAAAGTTGGTTAAATTTTATGTAGTTGAAACAACAAGCAAATTTGTTCTTAGCTAACAAACTTCACAAGACTTAAATGCTATCAAACTACTAGGTGAAGTAAAAACTGTAGACACGAACGACGCTAAGTTACAGCAAAAAGAAATATCTATTCTAAATAAAGTAAAACGGATTGAAGGAAAACAAGAAAAAAAATTAAAAGATTTTTTAAAGGATTAGGCGTGATTAGACCTAAACATCACATTGAGTTAAAAAATGACTCAAATCCTGTTATTCATCAAGAAAATCCTGTTATTCATCACTTAAATCCTGTTATTAACTAAGAAAAATTCATGTAACCTTGAGAAAAAAAATAAAAACAGAATTGGATAAAATGGAAAAAACAGGAGTAATAACAAAAGTAGATGAACCAACAGAATGTGTAAATTTGCTAATTTATTAGAAACATCAGAACCATTTCAAAATCTAATTAAAAAAGGAACACACATGCAATGAGGCGAAGCACAAGATTGATACTTCAGAAAAATTAAAAAGCTGCTATGTTTGGAACAATGTCTTGCATTCTATGATATCCAAAAGCCTGTAACGATACAAGTAGACACATGCAAAACTGGTGTTGAAGCAGTACTTCTTCAAAATGAAAAACCAATTGCATTTGCATCAAGGTCAATGACAACAGCTCGATAAAATTATGTAATCATTTAAAAAGAACTTGTCGCAGTATTTTTTGGGTGTGAGCGATTTCACCAATATATATATATATATATATATGGAAAAAAAGTAACTGTTAACAATGATCATAAACCGTTGGAAAATATTATGAAGAAATCCTTAGCAAACACTACTCCGTTTCTTCAGAGAACGTTATGAAGATTGAAAAAATATGATATTGATTTAATTTATAAATCTGGTAAAAAAATGATTCTGGCAGATACGTTATCTAGAGCTCATACCAATGAAAAACTGAAATTCCGGAAGATGAAATGATCGCTCAAGTGCATATGGTTTACGCAAACTGTTCATCTTCAAAAAAAAACCTCAAAGAAATAAAAACAAATACACTCAAAAATATTATGTTAAATGTAGTAGCAAACTACATAACAAATGGATGGCCGCCGGATAGACTCAGTAAAACCCTTTTGGTCGTTTAAAGAGGAACTGACACTCATAGAAGGAATATTTTTCAAAAGACAAAGAATTTTAATTCCAACATCAATGCGAAAAACAACAATTCGAAACCTAAATCTAGCACACATGGGGATTGAAAAAACTAAAATGAGAGCAAGAGAAACTGAATTTCGGCCAGGCATTACCAAACAAATTGAAGATTTAGTAAAGTCGTGTGAATGTCTGGAATACACAAAAAAACACACTAAGGAGTTAAAGATAACAAGCGAAACACCAAATCACCCGTTTCAAGTTGTGGGGACAAACTTATTTAACTGGAATAATCAGGATTTTATAATAGTGGTCGACTATTAAAGTCGTTATTGGAAAATCAAAAAGTTACATAACATTCAATCTCAAACGGTGATAAAGAATGTAAAAAATAATCTTCTCCAGACTTGGTATACCACAGATAGTACGGAGCGACAACGGCACACAAATTACATCTTTAGAATTCAAAAAATTCGGTATAGAGTGCGAGTTTAAACATATAACTAGTAGCCCTCAGTATCAACAATGAAATGGAATGGCTGAGAGAAATGTGCAATTAGCAAAAAAATTGCTAAGCAATGCAAAAAGCTCAAATCAAGATCTGTACATAGCTCTACTAGAGGTAAAAAACACTCCTGTTGACGGTCTTGCATCACCTGCTCAACTCATAAATGGAAGAAGATTGAGATCAACACTTCCTACTTCTATATCACTACTTTAAGTAAATCAAATCGATGTAAATAAATTTAAGAAGAATCGTAAAAAAGTTCAAAACTTACAGAAGAAATATTATGACAAAAACGCAAAAACATTGAAAAACGTAAGCGATGGAGACTGTGTTTGTATACATGAAGGAAATAAATGGCAACCAGGAAAAATTGTTGAGAGCAAACAGCAACGATGTTTCAATGTAAAAACCCTAAATGGAAATATTGTTAGAAGAAAGAGAAGACATCTACTAAAAACAAAAGAAGAAGTAGATTGGGATGTCAATTTATCCGACAGTGAAAGCGATATGAATGAATCAAAAGAAATACTCTTGGGTAAAAGAAAATTGTCGAATAACACAAAGATTGATCCAAATACAAATCAAAATGAATCAGCAGACCACGACATCATTGTAAAGCGATCAGGTAGAATTTCGAGGAAACCAAAACATTACATTGATTACGAAATGAATTTTTAAAGGAAAGAAGGTGTAACGATTGTTACGCAAAACAATTCAGAATAGCAATATATTATATATATATATATATATATATATATATATATATATATATATATATATATATATATATATATATATTCCTTTTACATTTGTATTAAAAAGAGTTTCTAATTAAAAAATAAAATCTTGTTGATTGTGTGATTTAATTAATTTAATTTTGATTTAATAAAGCATTCTGTATCTTTTTTAAACGAAAAATTTATTAGACGCAAAAAAGATGTCCAAAAGACGTTTAGAACTTAAACGGGATGGACGGACGCTAATTGAACGTCCAAAAGACGTCTTGTTTATGCTCCATGCCCACTCGGGTGAAATTTTTTTTTTATTGTCTTTTTTAATCATACTCCCAAGACGACTTGAAATTGCTTTGAAGTTTGCGGCTCGATGATCTTTCTGTTTTTCACTTCCATGTTTATACAAAAATGTAAATTTACATAAAACGTTTTAAATAACTTATGTAATATACTTTTTGATAAAAATTAACTTACTTGTGTAAGTAAAAAAAAAGTAAGTAAAAAACCCAGTTAACCAGCCCAACTGGGTCTCAGCTGGGATTGACTGGGGTTAAGCTGGGATTACTGGGACTTGTTCTAAGTGCCAGATGGGTCCCATATGGTATAAAAATAATGCCGCAAACAAGACCTGGGTTTTTACTGGGATTGGAATGGGGCTTTTGTAAATAGTTTACGTGTGGTTTAATTCCATATTTATTTTTACGTAAATCATTTAGTAAATGGTTTATGTATTTATAAATAGTATCTAAGTTTTACATACTTATAAAAAGTTAAAATCATACATTTATTAAAAGTAAGATTTTATGTATTTTATAAGTAATTTAATTAGTATATTTCTTATAGTTTAAGCAATATATTATCAAACATATGACTTATAGATAATGTTAAATCTTACATTTATATTATGCATTTATAAATGATATCTAATGTTTATATATGGCAGCGTCACTTAGTAAAACCTTACTAATAGTAATATTATCACTTTACAAAACATAGTAATACTATGCTTTGTAATAAAAACAATAAATATAAAAATATATAATAAAAGTATAAATATATATATATATATATATATATATATATAAATATATATATATATATATATATATATATATATATATATATATATATATATATATATATATATAATTATATATATATATATATATAAATATATATATATATATATATATATATATATATATATATATATATATATATACATATATATATACATATATATATATATATATATATATATATATATATATATATATATATATATATATATATATATATATATATATATATATATATATATATATACATATATATATATATATATATATACATATATATATATATATATATATATATATATATATATATATATATATATATATATATATATATATATATATATATATATATATATATATATATATATATATAATAAAAGTAGAATAATTTAGTAGCAATATTTAGACATTCATTTAACGAACAGTTTTACTGAAAAAAAAAAATGCAACATACTCCTAAATTTCTTAAATGGTCTAAATTTCAAAGCCATTAATAAGTATGAGAGTATATTAAATACAAGTCTGTATTAAAATGTCAACGTTGAGATTTTAACACAGACTTGTAAAATTGAAGTCATATTTTTTATTTTTTGTGCGATAGACAAATGTTGAAAATTTTTTAAATTAGTTTATATGGTTTGGTGTGCTTACAGTTATGGCTTAGTCACTAAGTAACGAAAATGAATTACACTAAGTTGGCGTGTTTCGTTTTAAATTATCTTTTCAAGCAAATCTCAATGTCACTTTACAAAATATGGTATATAATTAATTAATATATTACTTATATTATAAATACAGTAATTGATTTTATAAGGTATAATATAAGATTTTAAATGAAATAATGTATAAGTTATATATATATTGTGAGTTATTTGTTAATAGTATTAAGTAATAACAAAAATAATTAGGTGTTTTAACGTTTAATTTAATTTGTCTGTAATAATAAAAAAACAATAATATTTTGTTTGAGTATATTTGTTTATTAAATACATTTTTTAAATTCTTCAAAATATAAAAGTTTATATTTTTAGATAGCAATATTTAGACATGTGTTTAAGAAACAATTTGGCTAGTCTGAAATAAGGAAATATTGAGTTGTAAAACTTTTAGAAGTCTTTTAATTAATTATCACAGGATGTTATTTAATTTTTAAGAATATGTTGTGAAATAAATCAAATATACAATCATAAAATGCTACTTAAGTGCAATGTAAAATTAAAAATGTAGTTTTGATAAATAACATTGCAAAAACTGAATGTTTGAATATTCATGAATGTTTTATATTTTTCACTTGCTATAGTAAGTTAATTTTCATTGTCATATATATAATATGTTTATTTACAAAGTTATAAAAAATATTTTTTGGTAATATATTTTTTACTTTTGTTTTTTTTTTGTATAAAACTTTATTAAATTGATTTAAGAGGTTCAATAGTATCTTTTTTTTGTTTTTAGAGTTGGTTTGTGTTGATTTATGATTAAGAACAGAAAAAACATTACTTCAACAAAAGTTTTTTACTCATAAAAGTTATGTAAAATCTCCTATGAAATAGTTCATCTAAATCTAGTTAGTTTACACTTAATCTTACATCATTATTTTGAACATTTTTGTTTCCGAAAATTCAGGAAAAATTACTTTCCCCGAGTTATAATATCTCAAACTATTAGTTTGATAAAATAGTTAAAATAATTTCTGTATACTAAAAATATATATAATTTGCAAAATATACAGGTTTTTTCTATTATTCACCTGGGCTTCTGTGAATGGATAAATTCTATGAATAGAAGATGGACCGCGAATAGCTAGGAAATGTGAATGTTGTTATGATAGCACATATTTTTAGATCAAGAATAGTTTGTTTCACGTTATTTTCATTAAAAGTTTATGAATATATATGATAAAAAACGTTTTAAAATCTACATATGCTGTAGTGTGACATGATTCGAAATAAATATATATTTGAATGATTTTTCACGTAAACTTCATTTGGTACCTCAACGGTAGTTTGCTTTTATTGTGACAATGGCAGCATGTATTGTCATTAATACATGTTGGCTTCGTCAATAAAGTAGTAAAGTTTATAACTTATCTATGTGTAATGATTTTTTAAAGGATTTTATTAGGGTGTTGTATATATTTAAAAGTTTGATTTGTGTTATCTAAAATTTGTGTTATCTAAAATTTAGTTTATTTAGAATTTAAACTTTTGACTCATGTTATCCTGAGTCAAAAGTTTAAATTTTAAATGTTTACATAGTTATATTATATTATTGTTGTTTACAAGTCTATTTATGTCTAATTAATAACATCAAACATTAACCATAAAATATCATTGTTTTAGATTACCTGCAGGATTCCTGTTAAAAAGTAAAGCTAAAAAAACTTTAAAACTAGATGAAGGCAAATAAAGAAGTTAAAACACCGTTATTCGTGATGTCATTCCGAGGCTTCAGTTCTCCGGTATTAGTTTTTGTATTTTATTATTTATGTTATGTTTATTTTATTTTTTATATTTGTTATTTTTATAAAAACAAACTATAAAATAGTTAGTTATCCTGTCCTGGGCCCCACTTTCAATCTGGCTTTGGTTATCTTAGTTATAACACTTATATCTATTTACATACTGTAAATAGATATAAGTTAGCTTATTGAGTTAGCTTGTGATTTGTATGTGTGTTTTTGTTTGCCTATTGTTTGTTAGTTATATGCAAGATATGGAATGGTACGCCACACTGTTTCTTACGCCCTAAATAATATTATCAATAAATATTTTTATTTAAATTTGTCAATATATATGCTATAAATTATTATAATCAAATGTTTATTTTTAATTTATGAAATTACATTAAAAGTGGATGAAAGCACTTTTGAAGCAAAACAATAAACTTTAAAGCAGAATTTTGTCATGCGATTGTGGTGGCAATATGAGATAACTACCGTGAATATTACTATCGTAAAACAGTTTTGCATCAAATTATTGTATAATATTAGTTTTTTGTTGCTTAAAAATATTATGAAATTCAAATCTGTTTTTTCTATTGATTCGTAAAAAATGTCAGATCAAATATTCATTTGCCTAATATATTTTATCGCCCTAAAAACGAAATTAATATAGAAAATATAAATAACCTTTACTTTTTAATTTTATATAAAAAATGCGACGCTTTTTATTTAAAAAAATGTCGCAGATATGAGATACAAAAAATCTGCAAAAACAAACTAAAAAATTGAAAAAACCCGTTGTAAATAAAAAAAATATATATGGGTTCAGTATGTATGTTCAGTATGGGATCTTCCATCAAAAACTCAGATTAATCTCAAATTATTACCAAGGTGGAACCCACTGACAGAATCGCAATACTAATGTGGAATACCCAAATGGGTCTAACCTTTTTCACCAGTTGGATCTCAACTGGGACCTATTTAGAATGGTTAAAGAGAGCACATGTACTGCAAAGCCTAAAGACACAATAAAATCACTATCTCTAAATGGTAATTATAAAGTTCTTACTCTTGATGAAGATATATATTAGATATATTGTCCAATGTGTCAATTATTTGTAAAAGCTCAACACTAAATTTCAGCAAAGTTTCATTTCTATCAACATGAACTTAGTATTTTTTGTTATAAACGTTAAATAACGTTAAGGTATAAAGTATTTTGGTTACTACTACACAAGAAATTATTTGTTAAATATAAAGTTTAGAAATTAAAAGATTTTCAGTAATGTCGCCAAACGAGACTTTTCTAGTTTAAGAAAGAGAAAAATAGTTAAAAATCCTTATTCAAAATTTGCTAAGCTGGATCATATATTTCTGTTTCTCACAACGACAAAAAAATGTCTTTATGTTAATCTTATTTATCTAATGCATCTTAAATTAACAAATAAGTCAAGATTACGTAAGATGCATAATCTTAGACCTGTTAATATACCGAATACCAAGAGTTAAAAGCTTTCACTTGGATGAAACTAGATAGTATCCCTATTTGGGATCGAAATAATAACTCAATTCTATTTTTAAATAAAAAAACCATTTGTTATGTTAATTAATCATTGTTCCATGACCAATTTTTTAACTTATGAGTTCCATAAGTTTGTAATCAAACAATGACTTATTGAAAAAGTTGGGTTCAACAAAAATGTAAAATTGGTATACATGGTATTATTTTTAAAAAATATATTTGTAATTATAATTTTAGCTCTGTTTCGATAAATGTTTGGTTGTCAAAAGTAAAACGGATAACTGGTGCAAGTGATTAGTTAGATACGAGTAAATAATTGTTAATTGATGATAATAGAGTCAAGTTATATAATCAAAGATTAATCTGTAGCTTACATTTATATGTTTTTGCGTAAGTTTTTTAAATTGTAATGTTTTATTATAACAAGCACTCATAACAAGTCTGCAACAACGAAAAGTAGGTTGTTGCTATGAAAAAAAATAGGTATTCATATCAAACAATTAAGAAAAATAACATCTTTATAAGAGACGCAAACCTTACATTGGTGCTTGAACCAAATTTTTTTTATATGGCAGATATAAAAAAATCTACGAAAACGAATAGTAGGTTGCAACTATCCAAAAAAATAAATAACCATAGCAACCAAGTAAATAATAACGCGTAAATAAAAAACTCAAACGTTACATTGATATTTTAGCCAAATATTATTTAGCGCTAATATTAAATTAGTTAATAATTTTGTCTCAATATAGCCACTGTGCATTGGCATTAACTTTGGTCTAAAGAAGACATCTGTGCACCCATAATACTGATATTATAACAAAGAAATATTGCCTGTCTTAAAAAACTCAAATATATTATATAATTTACAACTTTTGTGAAACATATTAACTAAAAATAGTTAAACGCGATGGTATCATGAACGCAAAATTAAAGGTTTTTGTGGTACAAATTGTTAACAATATTTGTCACGTTGAAAACCTTTTGCGCCAAGCGGGAGTTTTTTTGATGTTATTTTTGATTACTCGTGCAGAAGACAAATTTAGTTTATTACAGGCAGAATGTTAAATGAGTCAACTTTTCATTAAAAACGATAGCTGCTTTATCAATATGCCAACTATATTTACTTCAAAGATAAACATTTTTAACATACTTGTTTTTAAATTTAATAATGCCTACTTTTTTGAAATATTTTGTCATTTTTCTTTCGGCTATGTTAAAACAAAAGCGGTATATTATCTCTCAACTATATTGTAATGCACTTCTAAGTTAAATCTGATTTTATCAAGTATTTTAATTACCAAAAATCGTTACTTTGTTATCTTGAGTGAACCTTTATTAAATTATAAACAAGCTTGATGCTTTTAAGGAACTTACTTAATTCGAAAACAAAAACCCACTTGCGTCAAATTATTTGATTCATAAAAATTGATAATAGAATCATTAGATCATAGGATATATTTATTTACTATATTTATAAAAACTTATATCTAATATTTATTCTATTTCTTATAAACATTTCAATAAAATGAAAGATTTCAAAAGTTACTATTATGTTTAAATTTCATAATTAATAATCATATATATAAGCCAGATCTTAAAAAAGATTAAAAAAAAAAAAAATCTCTAATTTTTTTGGAAGCCCTTAAATTTGCAGCGCCTAGGGCTTTAGCCCCTCCTAGCCCCTTTGATTCGGCACTGATATATATACATTAATTCAATATAAATAAACCGCAGTAATGTTTATATATATATATATATATATATATATATATATATATATATATATATATATATATATATATAAACATTACTGCGGTTTATTTATATTGAATTAATGTATATATATCAGTGCCGAATCAAAGGGGCTAGGGGGGGCTACAGCCCTAGGCCCTGCAAATTTAAGGCCTTCCAAAAAAATTAGAGTTTTTTTTTTTTTTTTAACTTTTTTTAAGATCTGGCTTATAAAAAGGCCTTCAAAAACACAAATAGCCCCGGGCCCTAAGAAGTCTTAATCCGCCATTAATACATATAGGGGAAGTAAGGGCATAACCGCATATGGAGGCACAGCCGTTTTTTAACATTTCTCTTCAAAAAATGTTATCTAATATGGCAAAGAACATACCACGCGTAAGTAAAACAGTTTCCTTTATTTTTCATATGTCAAAAAGAGTGACTGTTAAGTTTCTGAGAAGTTGTGAATAATAATTTTTATTTTGATAAAAATATTATATTTACATCATATTTTTCCTGACCTTCTTTTTGAGAATTAAGCAATATTTAATTTTAGTGTAAAAATATGTGTTATCAGCATTATTTCATGAAGTAAAAGTCATTTTTGATAATACCATAATCTAATAATTAATCTATGAAACTGAATTCTTTCTAAAACTCTCTTCTGGGGTAGAAACTCTCTTCTTGGGCAAAACTCAAAATGTAAACACAAAGAATGTCTGCTCAATATGCAAACATGCAACAAAATCATCAAACCATCTGAGCTGTGAAAATTGTAAAAAAATGTACCATGAAAGGTGTAGCCCCATCGATATTTTTGAGGGTGCAATTGTGCCTCACAATGGTGGCAAAACTGTTTTTTCACTAAATGTAATTTTTGTGTAATAACATTTTCAAAACCTGTTTAATTTTTTCTTAAATGCATCAATTCAAAGCTTAATGATGTGGTTATTCAAATAAACTGCTAAAAAAACAAATTTCCTTTTTATTTTCATATAACATTATTCCAAACGTTACGGGGGCGGTTATGCCCCCACTTCCCCTATATATAAATATATATATATATATATATATATATATATATATATATATATATATATATATATATATATATATATATATATATATATATATATATACATATATATATATATACATTTATATGTATATATTATATCTGTGGCAGACTTTAGACAAAACATTGCCTTAAGCATTAACACGATAAAAAAAAGTAGGTATAACACAATTTATTTTACGGCAATATATTGTCGTAAAAAAGTTGTATTTATTGATTAAGTTGACACAAAAATTGAAAATGAATTAAATTTTTTTAATATATAGTAGACAGCAAATCAGCAACAACGAATATTAGGTTGTTATTAAGCAAAAAAAAGGTATCCAACTAAGTAAAAAAAAAACGACTTCAGCAGTTACTCAAACCTTATATTGGTGTACATGCTAAATATAATGAATGCATTAGTATTAAATTATTCAATAATTTTTTCTCAATATAGCCTATATGTATAAGCTACATCTTTTGTTTAGAGAAAGCATTTGTGCACCGTAATGCTGATATTGTAACAAAGTAATATTTTTGTTTAAAAAAAACACAAGTATTTTATACATTTAGGCACTTATGTAAAGCATAACAACTAAACTCTTTTGTACGCGGTGAAAAACAGCTCGGCTGTTTTTTTCGGATTCTTGTTATATTTTACAAATAATTCATTTAAGGAGTGTTTCTACAACTTTTAAAACTTTTAGACAAACATTATTTTGAAACATGGTAAACAAACTTTTAGTGTAACATCTAAATACTCCCCCGAAAATTCAGCAGATTTATTTTTATTTATTGTATTTTTTATTTTAATTAAATGAATATAGGGATATATTTCTCGGATAATTTTTATGTTTACGTTATTATATTATTGTATTTGGTATTTATTTTAATCTTGACTCGGAGTTGTTTGCAACTATATTTTTATTTACTTCATAAATTTCAAACTTTATGTTTATTATATTTATATTTGTATTGCTTTACCGCCAATCTATGATTGGTTACTTGTAAATACTTTTTAGTTGTAAAATAAACATGAATATATATATATAAAAAAAAACAACTTAAAAACTAGAATGTATTTTTGTAACGCGTTTAATGTTACCTGACGTCTGTCATTGCTTTAAAATATGAACAAAAAATTACTCAAAAACCAATTTTAGTGCTAAATACGCCATGTTTGAAAACATATTTGATAACATAGCTTAGAGGTACAGAAAATAATATATATTTTTTACACA